ATGACTGGAAAACTAGTCTCTAATCTTTCCCAGATTTTTCAGGATGCATGGGAACCCTGATCTTTGTATCCAGCAGCATTAAATAATTCCTTGATTAGAACTAAGGGTCTAGACTGAACCATAAAAAACTGCCCTCGACCAAAAGTGCATAAAAGTATCGTTTGTCATTTGATGACTTAATTCCACTCATCATAAATTGTCACATATTTTAGTTGCTAGTGTTAATGTGGCATATAAAAGGAAAACACGTGATATTCAACTATATGTCTTTATAATAGTTGTTGGACTAATGGTCCATTAGCAGTCCTAGCACTGCTAAATCTTACATAATTAGGCACAGTTGTCTAAAAACGATGAAAAACACATAAAAGAGCCATACTGTTACACTGGGTGACTTATTCCTATATTACAACGAGCACTTAACAGAGTAAACAAGAAACTGCATCCCTGAGCCTGCATGGTGCATCTGCACAACATGAAAATATAGACACTAACTACATTAGCTATGTATTGAGATAAAGGAATATGTCTGTGTTACTCTTCAGTGTGTTTTTAACGGTATTTGTATTAAAGGTTCTATAGTAAAGAGGTATAACTTGTCAGGCAGTGACAGAATATACAGTAGCAGCACATAGTCATTGTTGGTTTTGGTATTGTAAAGGAATGTGTTAAAAGTCATGAAAAGAAATTGTGTCATTTGTTAAACTCTGTTATATCAATTTGTTCAGCTGTTGTGTGTATTCAACCGAACTGCTTGCTGTAACATAAACATCCACATGCTGCATTGGATGAATATATATATTGGACTTTGCAGTGAATACTGGGTAATATAATTCGGAGAACAGATGACTTCAAGCAGAAACGTGTCATTTCTCAGCCAATCTGGGCTGAATTTGAAAAGCTTTCTTGCTGACATTCAAGATGAACCAAGGCGCCACAATGATGATGTGAAAATCTACTTTTAAATACGTGCATTTTGAAAATGTCATGAATTGTTTTTCATATTCAGAACAACATGACATAACACAGGAAGAGGCATCTAAACACTGCTAGGGGGCGAAGAGTCCACTCGGCTCCTAGACTAAACACACCCCAAGTTGGGCTGGATCAAAATTATATTCAGCATTATCCGACTGGGTAAGATCTAGTTCTATTGCCGTGGGTCAGTGTGTCAATACCCGAGTGGATCTGTTACTGGGTTCATTCACAGGGTGTGTCAAAGTCATCACAGGAAAGTGTTTTTTGCATTACTTTACATTAAGTATGCTGTAAACAAAGTACTTTGTACAGTGTGCCATTCAAACACGTTGGAAGTGTTAATAGCTGTTCTGCTATCAACACTTCTGACAGGGCGAAAAACCAGCTGTCATAGAGAGGGGCGAGACACGATAATCATTTAAAAATGTTCAGACAATCTTTTTAGGAAGGTGTTAGTGTTGCACTTAGTTGCACAAACGGAAAGTGGTGAAAGTAGTCTTGTAAAGAATTCATAAAGAGCTTGAAGGAGACGTTTAAACGCTGCTTACTTTGTCACCATGTGAAGCGAATGTCGGATTGTCGGTTTTGGAAAGTTAGAAGAAGAAGGTGATTAGAAGATTTACTTTATTAATCCCCACACACGTAGGCCCGAAATACAATCACAGGGTTTATGCACATGTAAATGCGGAGTGATGGGCACGATGAG